AACCTTCCTAGTCCAGTGTGACCTGCACTACAAACTTAACCCAGCCGCGTTTGTGTCAGATGAGGCTAAAATAGCATTTATGGTCTCCCATTTAAATGGCAGAGCTGCCGCATGGGCCACTGCAGATTGGTCAAGAGACAATATGTGGATCTTTCACAGCATTCAAAGACACTATGAGCAGGATTTTTGATCTTACCTCACCTGCCGCTGAGGCCACCCGTGTACTCATGCAGCTCAAACAGCACCCATGGCCAGTGTTAGATTATGCCATAGAGTTCCGTACCATAGACATAGACAGTGGCTGGAACACCCAGCATTAATAGACGCCTTCCAGAATGGACTCTCTGAAACCATCAAAGACCACCTGGCTCCACTAGAACTACCACAATACCTGGAATCGCTGATTTCCATGTATATCCGAGTTGATAACCGCCTCAGAGAAAGAGAGAGAGAACGGCGCCGAACTGCAACAAGACATCCAAGCCACCAGGGGCGCTCTCTGGATAAGCAGCCTTCATGGGATCCCTTGTTTCACTCTTCATCAGGCCGAGCAGGAACAGCGCCATCACAGGCACCGGAGGAGCCAATGCAGCTCGGGAGAACAAGGATTTCTCCAGAGGAAAGACGGCGCCGCCTGCAGGAGGGATGCTGCTTTTACTGTGGCCAATCGGGTCACCAGCAGGGAACATGCCCGGGAAAAGGGCATGCTCACCAACCATGAGGAGGGTGTTGGTGAGCAAGATTTCCTCTAACTATCCTCCTCGCACACTCACCCAGGTTAAAGTCACAGCTAACAGTCAGACACATACTCTGGGGGCGCTAATTGACTCTGGGGCTGATGAAAGCCTCATAGACTGGGGTTTAGCTAAACGCCTTAATATTAAGACTGTCCCTCTCAAGCATCCTGTCAATGCCAGCGCCCTAGATGGCAGACTAATGTGTAAAGTAACTGATTGTACGGAACCCATTCAAGTAACAATTGATAATAATCATGTAGAAATAATGCAGTTTCATCTATTCAATTCAGCACAACATCCACTGATTTTGGGGTTTCCTTGGCTAAAGACACATAACCCACAGATTGATTGGGGTTCAGGACAAATTAAGGGATGGGGAGGGAATTGTGAACAGTCCTGTAGAATCCCACAAACTGTTGCAGTTTCGGTTAGAAGCTCAGATTTTCCTGACCTTTCCAAGGTCCCCTCATGCTACCATGACCTTAAGGAGGTTTTTAATAAAACCAAAGCTCTGTCACTGCCCCCTCATCGTCCTTTTGACTGTGCCATCGACCTGCTGCCTGGCGCACCCATCCCTAGGGGGCGCTTATACTCCATCTCGGGACCGGAGCGTGCGGCCATGGACGATTACATCTCCTCCTCGTTGAAAACGGGGATAATCCGTCCCTCTTCGTCACCTGCTGGTGCAGGATTCTTCTTTGTGGGTAAGAAGAATGGGTCGCTCAGGCCATGCATTGACTACAGCCCATTGAACAAAATAACTGTTAAGAACCGCCACCCACTCCCGCTGATGTCTTCAGCATTTGAACTGCTTCAAACAGCTAAAGTTTTTACCAAACTCGATCTTAGGAATGCTTACCACCTCGTCAGGATTAGAGAGGGAGACGAGTGGAAAACGGGGTTCAACACCCCAAGCGGACATTATGAATATCGGGTCATGCCTTTTGGACTATGTAATGCTCCTGCTGTATTTCAGACCATGGTAAATTACATTTTGAGAGAGTATTTGAATGTTTCTGTTTTCGTGTATCTGGATGATATTTTGATTTTCTCCCCAGATAGTCAGTCTCATGTCATGCATGTCCGCCAAGTTCTCCAGAAGCTTCTTGAGAATCAGTTGTATGTGAAAGCTGAAAAGTGCGACTTCCATGCAACCACTGTCTCCTTTCTGGGCTATATTGTCACCGCCAATCAGGTGCAGATGGATCCATCCAAGGTCAGTGCGGTGGCCAACTGGCCCACTCTTGATAGCAGCAAAAAGGTTCAGCAATTCCTGGGGTTTGCCAACTTTTATCGGAAGTTTATACGCAACTTCAGTTCTGTATCCGCACCTTTGCATGCTCTCACCTCCTCTAAAGTTTCCTTTCAGTGGACCTCCTAGGCCGAGTCCACCTTCCAATGCCTCAAGAAGAGATTCACCACGGCACCTATACTCACTGTTCCGGATCCCCAGAGACAGTTTGTGGTTGAGGTTGACGCATCCAACGAGGGCATCGGGGCTGTGTTGTCCCAGAGATCCTCCGAGGATAACAGGATGCACCCCTGTGCCTATCTATTGCGTAAGTTGACCTCAGCTGAAAAAAATTATGATGTGGGGAACAAGGAGTTACTAGCTGTCAAAGCAGCTTTGGAGGAGTGGAGACACTGGCTAGAAGGGGCGGAGCAACCATTTATTGTTTGGACTGACCACAAGAATTTAGAATATGTTAGGAAAGCCAAGCGACTAAATTCACGTCAGGCCCGGTGGACGCTGTTCTTCAGCAGATTTAACTTCATATTGTCTTTTCGGCCCGGTACACAAAACCGTAAGCCAGACACACTGTCTCGTCTTTTTGAGCCTGAACATAATGCCAAGGAACCAGTATCAATCCTTCCACTGAACTGTGTGGTTGGGTCGGTAACATGGCAGATAGAAACAGATGTGAAGCAGGCTAATGTTGTGAGCCCGGCACCCAGCGAGTGTCCAGGCAACCGCTTGTTTGTCCCTGTGTCTTTACGCTCTCAGGTAATCCATTGGGCTCACACGTCCAAGTTCACATGCCATCCGGGCGTCCGACGAACAATGTTTGCCATAAAGCAGCGGTTCTGGTGGCCGGCCATGAAAAAAGAGGTCTCCGAGTACGTGGCGGCCTGTCCAGTGTGTGCCCGGAATAAGATCTCGTCCCGGGCCCAGATGGGTCTTCTCCAGCCCCTCCCAGTGCCTCAGCGACCATGGTCGCACATCTCCATGGACTTTGTAACTGGTCTACCGCCCTCCAAAGGTAACACTACCGTCCTGACGGTGGTAGACCGTTTCTCAAAGATGGCACATTTCATTCCTCTGCTCAAACTTCCCTCTGCCAAGAAGACGGCAGAGGTCATGTTAACTCACGTGTTCAGAATCCATGGTTTCCCCAGTGACATAGTTTCCGACAGAGGACCACAGTTCATTTCCAACTTCTGGAAGGAGTTTTGCCAGCTCCTCTGCGCCACCGTCAGCTTATCTTCCGGTTACCACCCGCAGTCCAACGGTCAGACAGAGCGCCTGAACCAAGACCTCGAAACATGCCTCAGGTGCCTCGTGTCCCAGAAGCAGACCACTTGGAGCGATCATCTTACCTGGATAGAGTATGCCCACAACACTCTCCCCTCGGCTGCCACGGGTCTTTCCCCTTTCCAGTGTGCTAATGAGTACCAGCCTCCTCTCTTCCCTGCTAATGAGGAAGAAGTCAAGGTTCCATCCGCGCATGCCATGGTCCGACGCTGTCGGCGGGTTTGGGCCGGTGCTCGGCAGGCACTACTCCAGACCTCGACCCGGATGAAGTCAGCGGCGGATCGTCACCGGCGTGCGGCTCCCCTCTACAGGGCGGGCCAGAAAGTCTGGCTCTCCACCAAGGATCTACCCCTACACGTTCACTCCAAGAAGTTGGCACCGAGGTTTGTGGGTCCTTTCCCAATTTCAAGAGTCATTAACCCTGTCTCTGTGCGCCTCAAACTCCCCAGATCTTTGAGGGTCCATCCCACGTTTCACGTGAGCAAACTCAAGCCAGTTCGAGAGAGCACTCTGGTTCCCGCCTCCAAGCCCCCTCCACCACCCCGGATCATTGAAGGTGGCCCGGTGTACACAGTCGGGAGACTTCTGGCGGTCCGCAAACGGGGCCGAGGACGACAATTCTTGGTTGATTGGGAGGGTTACGGCACTGAGGAACGTTTGTGGGTCTCCTCAACGTTCATTGTGGACAAGACACTCATCAGTGACTTCTATGATCGTCACCCTGAGCAGCCTGGGCCGTCAGGAGTCGGCCCTAGAAGGGGGGGTACTGTTGTGTCCCGTCAATTATGTTAAGTTTTGTCATGTTAGTTTAGTTTATGTTCCACTTCCTGTTGTATTTGTACTCACCTTGTCTCATTCCAGGTCCCTTTACTTCCTGCTCTGGTTCCTTTTCCCGCCATCATCAGTGTCTGCCCCGCCCCTAATTGTTTCCACCTGTGCCCACTTACCACGTGTATATATTGTCCTGTCTCCCCTTGTTAGTTGTCGGTTCATCTTGTTCATTGCTCCAAGAAGTAAGATCTAAGCCATTGTTTAATGATAGTCAGTGTTTTGCCTTTTACCCTCTACGAGAGCGCTTTACGTTTGTCAGTTTGTTCATTCCTCTAAAAGAGTGATTTTGTTTTTGCAAGTAAAGACAATTTTTTCTTCAAAACCTTTTTGTCTCTGGGTCGTGCATTTGAGTCCTCCAAGCTATTGAGTCAAGGTTCCTAACATAATCGGGAGATAAGTTTCCATTCATTTCGGCAAGCCTGGGCAACAACGATTAAAAGATTTCTTGCTCCCAAACCAATTGTGTATTTCATTACAAAAAGCAGTTATACCATACTATGTTTAGGTACTAATGAATTATATCCTCAAAACAAATGCACACATAAATAACAAAGGAAAATACATAATTTAATAAATCCACAATATGATAACATTTTACAGATTCATTTAATAAACTTTTACAAAACATAGGTTGATGTTATATCGGGGGAAAAATACATATTTAAACATTTCAATTAGTCTCTGCATATTTAAGTAATGCTAGTTTATATAACAGATGAACAGATGTACAATATCCAGAAAGTAGATGCAAAAAATATATATAATGTGTGCATTTCCAACATATCCTCTGAAAGAGTGTTAGTCGTTGAGTTGAGTAGTGAGCCATTCGTTTTTTTTTCGTGGTGCGATGTCTGCTGAGAAGTCCTTGTATGCCTCGCTGACTTTGAGGACATCTGGGTCTGGCAGCTCCCCCCGCACGGCCTTGTAACGTGTACTCCTTTGAACATGTTTATATGATAATTAGGACTTTAAGAACAATTTTACACTCAGACAACAATCACAAAGTTATAGCAGGCTACATACAATTACTTAGGACAATAGATATGACCTTACACCGTCAGCAACTGTAAACTGCTTTGGCTTAGTGGAAATGAACACCATGTCACTCACTCTGCCTGGTTTCACACCCTTTTAATTACACAAAATAATTGTCAAATGAATTGAAAAGGTCGTTGATGCAACATACTAAATCAGCTCTTGGCACAAAGGAAATACTCATTAAACCGTGGATTGGTTGTGAACACATACTGTACTTACCATGGTTCTTGGCTTGTGCCATCGCTGCTCTGTTTCAGTGCAGCTGAGGACAGGGGGGACAGCAGCCAGGTTGAGTGTGGAGTAGTGTGCGGTCTGGATCAGCAGTGCAACATTGTGGTTGCAGAGTGCTGTTCCAGCTACACAGGAACACTTTGCCACTGCAATCTCCACAGGTGAACAGTTCTTAAAACAAAATGTCAGTCATTTTACATTTAGGACACTGCTTCAATACAACACAGACAAATGAGAAAGCTGAGAGCAGGCTGATCAGGCAAGTAGTAGGTGTGGGAAAAGGCTAAACCATGTCAGGTTGTCAGTCACATCACATACACAGAAGTTCTGCTGTTTGGAATACTGTAATTTATGGACATTCAAACAGATACGCTTGTATGGCCTGTCTTAGCTCTCTCAATGTATTATCTTATAACTACATAAAATAGTGTTAGTAGAACGTTGAACAGCTTAACATAGATGTAGGGTACAAAACCAGCACTTACACTGGCCAATACAAATATTTGGACCCTACATGGATTATACTAACCATACAGTAAAGAACAGCAGCCGTCACAACCAGTTTCTGGGGTTTCCATGAAAGCAGAGACGGTTTTCAACCTCTCATTAAGAATCTTTGATGATGAGCTTGGGTTTAGCTAATATATATATCATTTTACACGAGAGGGTTACAAAACGAAAATACATCTGTAGCCCCTTCATGCTACACACACATAGTAGCTAGTGTTAGAAATTAAAATCAATGATGATATGGCGTAATTTGAATTAAATACACTATTGTGGTGACACGTTATTGGTCATAATTCACCTTGCTTATTGTGTTGCCACACGGACCCTTTAGTGGGGAACACCTGTAGCTTTAGCTGCCATTCCTGCTAGCTCATCAGGCAGAGCAGTGCATGTGTTAACCTCTCTGAAAGTAATGGATAATAAAGATTGGAACTCCATTCTTAATACACCGCCTCCGACTCTCTTTTCACGGCACTACACTATTTAATTTAAATCAGTTTTATTCTGAAAAACCTGAAGTTCACTTACTATTAACTTAATACTTTTATTCTGAAAATTATTCACTTCCGGTTAGCATTAGCATGTGGCGAAATGCTGCATTTTCAAACCGTGAATTGAAGATGAAATGACATGTGATGTTGTACACTGAGCTCACTGGGTTTAGCACTCATTTATTACCACTGAATAACGTTTATTAGGGAACGTTTAAATAACCACAGACACCAGAATGATGTAATTTAACAACAGAAAAAGGCAGGAATTACATTGGACCCGCCCCCCGACGACGCCGGCCAATAGGAGAAGACCTCAGATGACAACAGGAAGAGCAAGCCAAGAATTGACCTCTTCTACCTGCTGACCTGGACCATGGATGTATAATAACCAGGGGTGCACATAACTTTTTTGCCGTGGTTCTCAAAGGAGCACCTGGAGATGTTGCTTGGTGCTCATCCTTAAAATGAAATAAACCGTAACTTTTGAGGGGGTCTTGACTTTAGTTGCCAGACACAAGGCACTGAACACACATGCAGAGGTGAACACAGAACACACATGCAGAGGTGAACACAGAACACACATGCAGAGGTGAACACAAGACAACATTAGCACGACCAGTAATCCTACAAGCTGTCATCACTACCCTCCTGACTGTTCTCCTCACTGTCTTCCTCTCTGTCAGACATGGTAGCTGATGATGTAGGCCTACTTCTTTCTCTCTGGTTGAGTCTGCGATTAGCTGCTTGCATCCACAAGTCAACAGCTGGGTTTGGGTCGAAAGTCTCTGTTGTCATCTTAGACAAGTGGATGTAATCAAATAAGTATGTGAACATAACCAATAACCTATAGCCAATAACAAATGAATGTAACTTATTTTATTTGTGTTGTTCATATCTTATTTTACCTTAACATTTTTTTATTTATGCATTTTTTTATCTCTCCAGTTTTAAAGGATATTTTTGGTTACTGTCTTATACATTGGAATGATTTGAAACCTGTTTATCCCAATAATTATAAAGGAGTGCCTTGGAAATATGTGTTTACATAAATTGTGACCAAACCGTTTGAACTTAGACTAAGAGTCCTTACCTCACTGAGCTGTAGTATCAGCCTCTCAGTTTGACTGGAGAGGACTCTCCCTCCACATTATTGTAGAAACATCTTCTTCTTATATCCGTTAGAGCAGCTAGCACGGCACCAGATTCTAATAACAACAGCGCTGGTACCGGTGCACCCTCCCTCTCTCCCTCGCATTTTGGCTGTGAGCTGCGGGCGCCAGATAAGCCAACATTCCCCATTTTCATCACTTACAGCGTCCATCGTACAGGGCAAATGAAACGTGTAACCGGGGTGAAAAGGGTGTTACATTTACTTAATTATGAATATTGTTACATTAGGATGAGCCCCAACGGTCAAAATGTTTTTTTCCCTCCCAGAACTGCCAGCGCAGCGACTCCCCAGATCTGGCGCCCTAGGTGAACATCTAGCCAGCGCTACGGGCCGGCCCTGAGTTCATATCATGGTTCATATGCAACTCGCAAATATCTTTCTTTCTCTCTCTTCTCTCTCTCTCTTCTCTCTCTCTCATCTCTCCTCTCTCCTCTATTTTCTCTTTTCTCTTCTCCCTTCTCTCTCTCCCTCTCTCAATGTTGGTACGCAAATGCGCTTTGTTTCAAATGACCCGGTGCTCTGTTTTTGGCGGAGGTGCGCATGCGCACCTGCGCACCAGTTATGTGCAGCCCTGATAATAAGAACTGGATACAGCGTGGGAGGCGGGGCCTCATTCATTCCTTTGAGAGTTGCTCATTAGCGCATGATGATAAAATGGCCCAACTTTTGAGAGAGTGAAACGTCACAGATTACCCGGCATGCCTGAGAAGTACCCGTATGTGCACTCATAGAGCATGTACAACTTTAACCAAAATGCTCGTTCACATCAATTACGTCAATTTGCGTACACGTAACAGCACCATGCGTTCATGACAGCATGGTAATGAGTTGTTATTATGATGGATTTGATATTAACAAGGCGGCAGTTAGCAGCTAGCGGTTAGCTAGTAATTATGCTAATGTACACATCAATCGTTATGTACTTATATTACGCTGTAACAGGATCTAGTGATATCCAACAGAGCTTCATTTAGCATGAAAGAATTATTGCACTGTTATATATACAGTGCAATAAGCTTCTTAGTGCAATAATAAGCTACAGGGACGTTAATCTAACGTCGGTAATATTAACTTTATTTAATACAACATTTACGGTACAAGATTTTGGCTACATCATACAGCCCATGTAGTATAATATTTTACAAATGATGAAATACAGCAAACATGTGCAATATATCCATTATTACAGCTCCGTGGGATGGCAGTAAGGTGATATGGTCCGTTGTTATTGTGCATCCATGGGTAAAGATAAATGCATGTAGTGCTGAACACGTAACATGAACGTGCCGGGCGGCGCGGTCCCGTGGGTTAGATGCGCGTTCATAATGCAGAGGGAAATAACTCTCAGAATAACGTTATTAGCACATTTTTACAACTTGAGGAACGCATTTTTTTAATAAGGGCTATACAAGTGTTCATACTGGCTTGTTTATTTAGTTTAAAAAAAATTATCCAACGAGTTACAGACCACTCTTTCCCAATGTAAGTCAATGGGAAAAAGTGTTTCCGGGCCCAGCAACCTAAAGGAAGTGTAGTACCGCCGTTTGGCCAGCACGAATATTCTCATCAGACTCCGGCGCACTTCCTGGGGGCTTGACCTGGACTGACCGGTCGGATGAGGAGAGCGCCTCCACTCGCACATTTCATTTTGTACACCTTCCTATTCCATAGAAGCAGTGCTTCGAAGCTTGCTTAAAATCACGTGACATATGACGTCAGAAGCAGCAACTGCTTCAAATCACGTGACATGTGACGTCCGAACCAGTAACTGCTTCATTTCCTGAATGAATCACTTGACTGGTTTGCGGTCCATTCACGCGATTCAATGCACTGCCTCGTCTCGATTCTGACAGGTGACAGGTTGAAACAGTTTCGAATTTGAGTGCTTCAACACTTTATGACCGCTCTAAACAATGCGCAATGTGTGGGTTGTCGTAGTTTGCGTTGTTGCTGTTGAGTTGTTGTTGGTATTGCATTTGAATTGTAGTATCATTATAGAGCAAGCCAGGAAGAAAGATAGGTCGTTCTGGCTCGGGAAACACTTTGAAATGTGGAGAAGTTGTGAACAAAAAGACAATTATCAGTAATATAAAAACAGTTCAATATTTCAAGGAATAGATAGCCCAGTGGGTAGAGCCGGAGGCCCGAATGCAGTGATGTCGTCCGCGCAGCTGGTTCAAAGCCCGGAATGGATGTATTTTAATCATTGCTTTTCAACTTTAATACTTTAATAACTGATAAAAGGCCCTCTCCTCCCAAAAAAATGTCCAGCACTCTCTAGTCTCTTCTCAATAACCCAATACACACAATTATCAATCTTTAATTGCAAATAGAACATGATATTCAGTCTTAGTGTGTGTGTGCATCGAATATTTTTCAAACCCACCCTTGCACTTCGCCAGGAGAGGTCACTGTAACTGAAGCTTCGAGAAATGAACCTATTTCCGACACAATTGTCCAAGTGGTTCGATGCTTCATTCAAAGCTTCATTTTGCCATCACTAATAGACGCCATCTTGTGCAACTAGCCCATTACCTCCTAATTCTGCCCTACACTCCCAAAAGGGGAGGGGCCTGAAAGGACAGCTAAATGCACAGCAGTCCATTTTCACCAGGCCCAACAACAAGAGCAAGGCTGCTACCAGAGCATCTTATCGTGTCAGTCACGTTCTTGCGAAACACATGAAGTCTTTCAAAGACGGCGAAGTTGTGAAATAAGCATTCCTGGAGGCTGCGGACGCGCTTTTGGGGGACAGTAAAAATAACAGTAGCATTTCAACAGGTTTTTTATATAATAAAAGCTCAAGTTAGATACCGTTATTAATCAGCTGTAAGTTTTAGTTTGTTT